TAGTTGTTTGGTGGATTGCTTTCTTGGGGGGGGGGGTTTTTTAAAAATGATTTGGTTACTCAATCCATGACTGTTTGTGGGATTTTGCTGTGCTTTTTCTGCTGCGTTTTGCCCACATAAATGCACAGTAAATCTGCTTTGAACTTTTCTGCGTTCATTTTAGAGAACGGGACCAACTATTTTTTTAAAGTAATTTTCTTGGCTTAATTGCAGCCTGATCAACTGGTTCTACAACTTGCCACAGAGGTGGGGGTGGAAAAAGGATTGGAAATTAGGATGATAGGGTTGCTTCAGAATGGTGATCCAACAATCTCTCACCAGGTTTTTATAAGGAGGGAATTGGGTGGAAACTTACGTGGGTGGCGCTCTAATAATAATAATCTTGGGATTTGATAGCGCGCCTTATTACATCTTCGAGAAGTCTCAAAGTGCTTCACAGGATATACTGTAAAGTGAATTGACTGTATATTTTGTGGGCAAAACGCGGCAGCCAATTGCGCACAGCAGCGTCCCAAAATCAGTCGTGAATTGAGTGGCCAAATGATTATTATTTTAAAGGGATTATTACTACGAGAAAGCGATCCGCCAATCGACTAACAAGCAGGTTCCTACTTACTGCTCGGTAAACAGAGGAGCGTGGAGTAAGGAAACTTGCGTAAGGTTTCGCCCTGCCCGGGAATCAAACCCAGGCCCTCTCGCTTGCGAGGCGAGTGCTGTAACCAGCGAGCTACAGGACTCCACAACCACTTGTACATCCAAGGGATTATTTTTCTGTTCTGATTCACCCCACAGTTTAAATGGGAGTGGGGTAGAGAGGGCTTTGCACAGCACAAGTCCTCAGGTAATACTACAAAACCATCTCTCGAAGCCAGGTTTTACAACAGAAATAATCCATTAAGGAATTCTTCTGTTTGTTAGGACCCCATGAGGCAACAGAGGGATCTATAAATAGAGAGCATGTGACGAATGCACACTGAGCGCTGGTTTATGTTTCACCCCTGAGACCAGCCTCATGACCGAGTTATGTAACTGATCTTCCCTATTGAAACACACTACCCTGCCCATTAGGGCTTGGCTTGCAGGATTGAGGATACACTGAGTGAGTAACGTGGACAATTTACCGTGAATTACAAGGCACTAATCCGATTTACGGGTTTCTCAGACAACACTATAAAACTAGTTTACAAAGCTTTCGCGCACTCAGTTGAATTATTACTCCAAATGAACTTTGTGGAGTCAGCTATCAATGGCAGTGAACACACAAGTTATTTCATGTTTAAAGTAGGTTTCTTATCATCTTTAGCACTTTTAACAAGGATATTCTTAATTTGTGCCATGACTCTTTCTGCCTTCCCCACCTCCTCCTTGACTCCGCCACTAACTCTCCCCCTCAGGCTGCCGAAACCCTCATCCACATCGTCATTACATCCGGGCTCGACTACGCCAACTCCCTGCTTACCAAACTTCCCAACTCTTTTCTCCACCAGCTGCAGATTATTCCGAACTCTGCAGCTCGTGTCCTCTCCTGCACTAAACTCCGTGAACCGATCACCCACACTTTGCCCGGCTTCACTGGCTCCCCATCCCCCAGAGGATTGAGTTCAAGATCCTTGTCCTCACACTTAAAGCCCTCCAAGGCCTCGCTCCTCCCTACTTCTGTGACCTATTAAAACTTCACCAACCTGTCTGTTCCCTCCGCTCGGTGGGCACTTGCCTGCTCCATCCACGCCCCCTGCCCTCTCAGCTCCACCTTTCTGCCTTCAGCCCCCATCCTCTGGAACTCCATCCCACAATCCCTTCGCCTCGCCCCCTTCAAGGTCCTGTTCAAGACCTTCCTCTTCGATCACACCTTCGGTCGTCCTCCTATCCCTCTTTCTCTCCTCTCCTCTTGATTCCAAACCCCAGCTCGGGTGCAAATCCTAAACTGTTCAGCTCCTTGGGATGTCCTCCGGACATGAAAGTTGCTACAGAAATGCAATTTGTTGTTGTTGTTGGATTGCTTCCTTTGTAGAAGTGCAGCATGTGGAGCAGCCACACAGCTATAGTGGACATGGTAGTTTCTTCCGTCCTTCCGATTTTCTCGCTTGCTTCATAGCACAAAGCACACAGCTGAGCCACATACATTAGCGCACGGCAAACGTTTAGAAACTTGGGCAGAGGGAAGGGGTGACCACCCTTTTGTTCAGGAAATAGTTAATGATTTTAAGACAATAAATAAAGTAACTGTGCACTCCAGTACTTGTCCAGCTAGGACCACCCTGCCCATTAGGGCTTGGCTTGCAGGATTGAGGATACATCTTACATCACCAAGATTGCCAAGTCAGACCTGCGTATGTGTTAGGTATGTCTCATTACAGGTGGTTTCGCCCCTGCGGAGGTGTCACTTACCTGCTCTCGGAGGATACCCAACTCAACTAATACCCGACTTAGGTGCAGGTTAACAAAAGACGAGCTTGGTGGCCCCACAGTGTGCATTGGGGGGAGAGATACTGCTGGTGTTTAAGCAGCTAAAACCGTGCAGCTTGTCACTGCTAATTGACTGACAAGCTACTTGTTTAGCTAAGATACCTTACCAGTTAGGGCTTCAGTTTGCAATGAGTGAATCAGATCCGAGTGGGAGTTACGTGAATAATTCTTGCATTTAATATCGCGCTGTCTCCATGTTGTCGAGACGTCTCAAAGCGCTTCACAGGATATACTGCAAAGTGGTGACTGTATTTTTTGGTGAATTTCAGCAGCCAATTTGTGCACAGCAATGTCCCGCAAATAGCCATGGAGTGAGTGATCAATCTTATTTTGGGGGATTGTTGGCCAGGACACTGGGATCAACACACTTCTTCCCCCAGTGACTGACCTGCTCCTCCAAATTCTGCCGACAGGCTATGCTGGCTCATCAACAGTGCTTTGGATTACTGCAGACCTGTCTTGTTGCCAGGACCCCACAGAGAATAATGGAGTAAATGTAACTCTAAAGAGACTTTGCGTTCCTAAGACAATCAAATGAACTCAATGGGATGCTACAGTAATAATAATCCTTGCATGTGATATAGTGCCTTTAATGGAGTAAATGTAGCTCTAAAGAGACTTTGCGTTCCTAAGACAATCAAATGAACTCAATGGGATGCTACAGTAATAATAATAATCCTTGCATGTGATATAGCGCCTTATCACGTCTTCGAGACGTTCCAAAGCACTTCACAGGATATACAGTAAAGTGAATTGACTGTGTATTTTGTGGGTGAAATGCGGCAGCCAATTGCGCGCAGCAGCGTCCCACAAACTGTCGTGGACTGAATGACCGCATTTTTTTTAAAGGGATTATTATCCCTGGAAAAGCGATCCATCAATCGACCAACAATGAACGACAGGGATAGAAAATACATTGAATCACAGCATCTGACTATATGCATGTGATCACTACAATATCAGAGAGCAACAGTCATTGCTTAATGCAGCACAAGTAGGTCTTATGATGAGACTCTCCCTGTCCGCTATCCCAGTAGAAAAGGAATGATTTAATTCTGGGACACAGGCCACTTGAGTCTATCAGCAGCTAAATCATCCACATTGTCTGAATCATGATCACAATTACATCTTATAAAACTTAATGAAATAACAGGTCTGAAGGGCCAATAATGGACTTGGGAGTGAGAACTCGTTTTGTATCATGAACTGAACACACAGACTGAACGCTCGAGGTTGGCAGAAAGCCTGCTAGATGAAATCACACCAGAAATGTTGGACATCAATAAGCTACCAAGCAGAACCCTTGCCACTCTTCCATGTGGCCTTGCAGTATGTCTGTGCTCATCATAGGCTGTACTGACTGTACGCTAACTGTGAATTTCATCTAATCTCCACTGATGACTCATGGTGAGTGTACATGCGTACCAAGTCACCCTCTAATTCTCACCATCAAGCATCATGGAGTGCGAGCATCATCAGGCTATTCAAAGAGGTAGAACGTTAATAATAATCCCTTCCCTTCGGTATAGTCTTCCACATCAGGAGGATGTCTCAAACCGTTTCAAAGGACGTAAAGTGGACTGACTGTGTATTTTGTAGGCAAACACTGCAGCCCATTTGCGTACATCAATGTCCTGCAAACAGCCATGAAGTGAATGATGAATTTTATCAGTGGGATTGTTGCCAGGACCCGGAGGAAGTCCCTTCTCTTTTCGAATAGTGCCATGGGATCTTTAGTGTCCACCTGAATAGGCAGACAGGACTTTGGTTTAAGATTTTATGCAAAGGACGGCACCTCCAACACAGCTCACTCTCAGCTCTGCATTGCAGTGTCAGCTTGGACTGTATGAATTTCCAAGTCCCAACCTGGGACTTGAGCTCACAACCAACCTTCTGACGCAGAGGCGAGAATGCTACCAACTGAGCCAGGCTGACACATAGCCTCGACTTAAATGCTCCTGCTTTTACATGTTCCAGCAAGGTTTTGGCGGAAAGCAATCAAAAGCAACTCTGATTGAATCATCACTCGCACTCTCTAAAGCTGATCATAGCTCTGCCTCCATTCTCAGCATTGATAGTGTCCCGCGGGCCAGCATATCAAGACGGCCTCCTGACTTGAAAAGTGTTATACTGTATAAATGCAAGTTGTTTTGTATTGTATTCTCATCATGTGCTGAATCCGTTTAGGCTTTGCTAAGACCGCATGAGGGAGCGAGGTAGGCTATGTGTCAGCCTGGCTGAGTTGGTAGCACTCTCGCCTCGGAAATGCATCTCCCCTATTAGTGGGGTAGAGGACATTAAGCAGGCCAGAGCTGGAGGAGTGCCTCAAGGCATTGCAGAGGTATCGATGCGCACATGGATGGGAGGCAATTGAAGGTGAGGATGAGGATTTTCAATTTGACACACGAGGGGATAGGAAGCCAGCAGAGCTGGGCAAGGATGAAATGGTGGGAGCCAGATGTGGGAGAGGATATCGACTGTAAAGTTCTTGCAGTCTCTGCCTTGCACACTTAGTCCACAATCTTCCAGTGAGCTTAGTTTTAAAAACATTTATTTAATTTTACAAAAAGCAGCAACCATCATGTGTGTAACCTAAAACGAATTTCAATCTTCTCCAATAAAATCGCAGTCGTCCTTTTGTAAATTGCCTGCAATCCGATCCAAATGGCACCAATACCGTCTTAAAAGGGACGGCTTGAACTAAGAGGAACATGTGACTTGCCACTGTCGAAATATTCGGAAGACCTTCCTGGATTTTTCTGAAAGAGACTGTTGACAGCAAAATAGAAGTAAATAGAAGCTCGAAGACAGATGGCAGAAACCCCCCTTTTTTTTGCTGTGTAACAGAGAAAACCCTACTAAAGGCAGACAAGGACAGATTGCCTGCCGCTTGGTCGAACACACAAGGTCCTGGGGCACAACATACACTTTCTTTATACATTATAACTGACTAACATTAGAATGGAATATTATTGACATTCCCAGCACAGTGTTACAGTCGTATCAGAATTGTGTCTGTGATTCTCGTTCTGAATCCCCAATGGGGACTATTCAGGGAATGCAAAACAAAGGCTTGTTGATTCTCTCCCACTTTCCATCTTACGTTTAAGAGTCTAAAGGGCAATTAATGTCTAAATTACACCACACAGAGAGGACCAAAATGTGTTCAAACTGAGCAGTTTGTCAATAGAATAAATATAAAAGTTGGGTGGGTCTGATACAATACGTGTTCCTATAGGGCCTTTAAATGTCAGCAGGACATCTCAAAAGGTTTGACAAAGCTGAATGGGGGTGGGAGCTGGGGATGGGGACAAAAATAACCAAAAGTGCAGTCCAGAGATACGTTTTGAGACGTGGCTCGAAGGAGGAGAGGAGAGGGAGGGTGTTGGAAGAAATGCGGGGTGGAGTTCCAGATCGGGGTGATGTCATGTCACAAGATGTAATCTGTGTAATTGAATAAATATGGGTTTCCTAATCCTGAAGGCACTGATTCATGCCAGGGTTTCACTCTGTGAGACAGCAACATTTAAATACCCATATTTTTCATGTATGAGCCTAAATGCTTAGGGTCAGCAGATTTTACACCTGTAGGGAGTCATCAAAGTAGAACCAGGTCCTGACTATGCTTCTTGCTCCTCGTCCCCCAAAATACACAGCTACTGAACACATTGATTATTTACTGAGAGCTTAATATTAGTAAATATTGCTGCTTTCCAAATTTGAATTCTGGTCTGTGCTTAGTTAACGGATTTCAGTGAGGGGATGACAATTGTCCTGTAATTTAGTGGTAAGAACACTCGCCTCGCAAGTGAGAGGACCCAGGTTTGATTCCTGGGCAGAACAAAACCTTAGGCAACTTTACTTACTCCAAACTCCTCTGTTTATCTAGCATTAAGTAGGAACCTGGTTGTTAGTGGATTGGAGGATAATTTCAATCCACAACTGTTTGTGGGACACTGCTGTGCGCAATTGGCTGCTGTGTTTCACCCACAAATATATACAGTCAATTCATTTTACAGTATATTCTGTAAAGCGCTTTGAGACGTCTCAACGATATGATGAGGCAGTATTTCGAATCAAGCTTTATTATTATTATCATTGGTTTCAGTGTCCCTGGGTTAGGGAGTTAAAGAGGGATTATTTTTTTTAGCTCAGGAGCCTATCATTGTTCAGGCACCCCCAGCCTGTATTACACAAGAAAAAGATCAGTCATGGTCACGATAGCACCTGTAATATTCAAGCAGAAAGAATGGCCCTCGTACAAGGTATGAGAAGGTGTGTTGACTGCCTGTATAAATGCAAGTTGTTGTTGCCTACATGTTCCTTAACTTACAGACTTCATATGGGAAAAAATGTAAATGAAAAAGCACGAGAACAACCTAACAAATTAACCCATCAAATTGTTTACTCACAAAGGAATCAGATTCCTCATCTGGGCTCCTGGATGGTTGTAGTGACAGAAGGACTTGCAGAACTGTCCTCCAGCCCAGCTCTCTTCTTTCTAATGTATCAGGCACTGCGCCCACCTCTCCTTGCTCAGGATCCTCTGACCTGTCTGGCTCCCCGTCCCTTGTTATCCAGGGGCACCAGTCTCTGTGCTGAAACACTGGGTCAAAATAGCTCTTAGGGCTATCCTATAGTTTTAAAAGAAAAAAAGGCTTATTAGAAATCTGAAATAAAAAAACAGAAAAGGCTGGAATTGCACAACTTTATCAGTATCTGAAAGAAAAAAAATCGGTTAATATTTTGGATGTGAGCCAGAGTTGACTAAAGGTAACATCTGAATTGTTAAATAGTGAACGCATGATTCATTTTCACAATTTCCATCTGGTCTTTTACTGATAAATATGATGCATCAGGCGAGGTGAAGTGTCTGAAAGGCATTACAAAAGACAAACCAGGAATATCTACAATTTACAACTTAATATAATGGTTCCTTTTAATGAGACTCAATGTGCCGATCCAATAAGACAAATTAGCAGCTGGTGTCAGAGGTGGTAGCTACTAATACAAATCCCTTTTATTTAAAAAAAATCCCAGGGAAAAATGTACTAACAGCCCATACCACAGATGGATCTAACAGCTTTCTTCTGCCAACCCTTGGTTCGTCCTTGACTCGGCTTCTAGGACTAAGATTGGTCAGTAAAATGTAAGGTACTAAAGTACCTTCACAAAAGGAAAATGTATGAACAATGAAGGCAGTTCGGCTGCATGAGGAACAGTGACAATGGTGCACTGATACATGAAGGAGAAACACAGGTGTTCACATTTGCCTATAAAATTCCCAGCTACTATAATAATCCTTGCATTATCACGTCTTCGAGACGTCTCAAAGCGCTTCACAGAATATACTGTAAAGTGAATTGACTGTATATTTGGTGGGCGAAACGCGGCAGCCAATTGCGCACAGCAGCGTCCTACAAACAGTTATGGATCGAATGACATTATTATTATTTTTTTTGGAAGGGATTATTACCCCTAGAAAACAATCCGCCAATCATCTAACAACCGGGTTCCTACTTACTGCTAGGTAAACAGAGGTGGAAGAGTAAGGAAACTTGCCTAGAGTTTCGCTCTGCCCGGGAATCAAACCCGGGTTTTCTTGTTGCCAGTCGAGCGCTCTAACCACTGAGCTACAGGACCCACATAGTGTACTCTACAGTAAAATCCTGTGAAGTTCTTGTGAGACATTTCAACACGCGATAATGCTATATCAAATGCAGACATTATTATATTCACTGATAAACTCCAGCTTACAGTAATCACACCAATTATTTCAGTTCCCGCCAACGTATATTGAAGACCCGCAAATTTGTGCTAAATTCACCGGCTGCGATTTATTTCGGAAAACCAACTCATTTTCACAGCATCGTCATGCGCGCTCCATTACTTACGGAGCTGGTGGATGAAGACAAGCGTAGACGCTTGGGTTTCCTCTGTGGGCTGGATGGCACTTCTCCTTGGCCCTTGCTTCGGGTTGCGGGTCTCTTGCCTCGTAGCCCCGGGCTGACGGAATCGGACTCGCTTCGGTCGACCGGAGTGGGACTGTGTGTATCTCGACTCCGTGTTCGTGGTGTAATAGGAGAAGAGCTCAATTCCTGCTGAAAAATCAAAACCGGTGGCAATCAGAGAAAAGTACTTTTATTAATTAGTTAGAAAACTGAATCTGTGCGACTATCCCCCAAATAAAATTGGATGACACACTCCATAACTACTTGTGGCACATTGCTGTGTGCAAATCGCTGCTGCGTTTCGCCCACAAAATACAGTCAATTCACTTTACAGTATATTCTGTGAAGGGCTTTGAGACGTCTCAATCACATGATAAGGTACTATATCAAATGCAAGGATTATTATTATTATAAATCTCCCGCGAACTTCCTTCCGGATTTTCCTCCCTCTTTCCCCGCTGTTCCACAAGCAAAAAACGAAATGGACACTCATGAGTGCATCAAGTTTCAGAAGGTTATTCTTCCCTGGAAAAGCATGGTAGTCAGGTCTGATGCTATAACCACACAATGCTATACCTATCCACTGAAGAGGAACTTACTGGTGATCAGTAGCAGGACCCTGGCTGAAGTTTCCCATCACTAGCCGAGGGATATTTAATCTACTTACACCTGGGTCTTCAGTGGTGAAGAACTGGCAGATGGAATTTTAAGGGGGATAAATGTAGGATATTGGGACAAAACAGAAAATATGCCCAATATGCACATGGAATGAATGAATACAATAACCCTTATACATAATCCTTGCATTTGACTTAGCACCTCTAATGTCAGAACGTCTTAAAACATATCAAATGGCATCGCTGTCAAGTGTAGTGACTGTATATTTGTGGGAAGACCATAGAAATGCCATCTCCACAGTATTGTAAGAACTTTAGAATAATTATTATATTAGCCAAAGTGCCCGGTTCACATTTATGTGCCTTATACGGCAAAATATCACGATGCTCTTTGCAGAAATTGTAGCCAATTAGAATGATTTTTTTAAACAAAAACGGAGAGAGCTGGAAAAACTCAGCAGGTCAGGCAGCATCTATGGAGAAAGGAAAGTGAGTCAACTTTTCGGGTCCACGTGACCCTTCGTCAGAACGCGTTCTGAAACTTGACGCAACGAGTTCTGACGAAGGGTCGTGGACCCCAAACGTTGACTCGCTTTCCTTTCTCCATAGATGCTGCCTGACCTGCTGAGTTTTCCCAGCTCCTTCCGTTTTTGTTTCGGATTCCAGCATCTGCAGCATTTGTGTGTTTTGAGAATGATCCTTTTTTTTTTGTTGGCCAAAACTGCAGAATGGACCCGATAATCCTGTAGTTTAGAAAAATCGCTTCAAAAGTCTGGAATAAAATTCAGCATTTTGAAAATTTGTGGAGGTGATTACTCATCACCCTCGGAACGGTAAGACTTGGCTAGTCCACGACCAGACACGGTTTGAGGAACGAACCTGCTCGAAGGGCCGAACATCCTTTTTGTATCCTACTGTTCCACGGGGAAAGTTACGATCTGGCAATGAACCACAGGCTGCACCCACTCACCACCTAGTGGTCAGCCCAAGAGTGACGCTGGCAAAGATTTGGGAGAATATCACACACTCACTATCTTTTGGGAGATAGTTCTCGAATAGATACCATTTCAAGTCCATATATAAGCAAGCAACTCCCTAGAAACATATGGATCCCAACATTTGTACTATTCATCCATAACCTCCTTCCCCCAAGACAACATTCCTTTCCCCGCTCCCCTGGCCCCAGCAGCCGGAAACCATTGTGTCCTATGGTGCGTGATCAGGGGTTACCTGATGAAACACAGCATTTTTTTTAAAAAAGGAGCATAAGGGCAACAATGTGCAGAATCACAGAATTAAATGCAGCTTTTCATTCAGATACCGATCTAAGCCACATTACCGTAGAGAGGCCAGCAAACTGGCAGGGGATTGCTCACTGGAGCAATGTTGCATGCAGCTTAGTTGCTGACCTACAATTGCATTGTTGGTGGGAATACTGCAGAGATTCACTGGGACGTCAATTTTGCCTCTGGCAGTTTTCCCCTGCCCCCATCCTCCACTCTTCTGACTTGGTCCATTGCTCATTATTCACTCTCTCCGTCCCACCTTTGGAGGTTGAGTCTTTAGGCTGCTACCTGGAACTATGCCAGAATCTCTATATCTTGTGCCTTCTCTCCCTGCAATGAATATCCTCTTAAAAACATATCCCATTAAAGGTGCTTCTTATCACCTCAAACTCTCTCCCCTTTGCTCCACAGCGTTGTCAGTCTGGCTCAATTGCTGGCACTCTCGACTCCAAGTCAGAAGTTCAAGCCCCGTATTGGGATTTTGAACTCAATAGTCTAGGCTGACACTCCAGTGGAATGCTAGGGAAGTGCTGCCTTGTCAGAGGCGTCTTCCTTTGAATGAGACATTAAACCGAGGTCCCGACTGCTTGCTCTGTGGATGTTAAAGATCCTTCGGCACTATTCGGTACTCCACACGCCTCTGTTTACCTAGCAGTAAGGAGGAACCCGGACGTTAGTCGATTGGCGGATCACTTCTCCGGGGGTAATAATCTCTCAAGAAAAATCTGGTCACTCAATTAACAACTGTTTGTGGGACACTATATATATTACAGTATATTCTGTGAAACTCTTTGAGACATCTCAAGGCCGTCATAATAAGGCACTATATCAAATGCAAGGATTATTATTATTATTATAAGTGCACAGAGTTTTTATCTTTACCTGTTCCCCGGGCAGAGACTGGGCGGCGTCCTGACTGCGAGTGACCATTCTGTGGGGAGATATTGTCAGTGAAGTCGGGGTCGATCTCCCCGCCTTGTTCTCCTGGGGGGAGATGGGAGTATTGCAAAGACTGATGGGAAGGTCGATTTCACTGCCTCCGCCCAGCGTCTCGATCTGCTGAAAACTCCACAAACCCACTTTACGCATGCAGTAGGAACACATGATGATCGGAAGTTGAAGGGAATCTGAAGGTCTATTCAAAGAAATGGGGGGGGGGGGGGGAAAGAGTCAGACAAGTCTCGCATTCAGTGCACGATTGCTTTAACTATAAGAAAAATTACCAAACAAAGGCGATGCCTGATGTAACAATGAACATCAGAAGGAATTCACATTTTCTGTGCTGAGAAACATAATTAGTGGAAACCCATTTGTTGGATCGCTTTCCAGGGGTAATAATCCCTCAAAAAAAAAATCTGGTCACTCAATTGACGACTGTTTGTGGGACACTGTATGCATAACAGTATATTCTGTGAAGCGCTTTGAGACGTCTCAACAACATGATCAGGCACTATATCAAACGCAAAGAGTATTGTTATTATGAGTGCGCAGGATTTTTGTTGTAACATGTTCCTCATGCTGAGACAAAGCACATTATGTTCTGATGACATCCAGTTCGCCTTCGACCATCCTGGAATGCGCACATCATGTCCCAAACTATATACTGTATCGCAAGATATTATTAAGAACATAAGATCTTATGGGATACTACAATTGGGATAAGTGCTCCAGGTTAGGAAGCTGAAAAGTCAGTCAGGTCTCCTCCCTCTTGATCATTTTCCAGTGATTCTTGTCAGCAAGTGGACATGTGTGTGCATGTCAAGCGAGGGCAGAAATGATCTCAACTGTGCTGGGCATCTTGTACTGACTGTCTCTGCTTGCACTTGGAAAATCACCTCTTTGGGGAAAGTACCAGACGGGTTGTCAAGCAGTTGTGGAATTGTACTTCCAACAAGACTTCAGGTGAGTAGGAAAGGAGAAAATTTGCAAATTTATCTTTTTTTTAACAGTAGTTAAACAGTGGACAGGTGGCATATAGCAGTAGAGCATTGACAATGTTATCTCACAGTGGTTTATTTCCTCTGCTCTTTGGAATTCCCAATCTGAGGAACATCCTGAAGAACCAGTATGTGGAAGGTGGGTACATGTGGCACAGGGTACCTTCGTGCTAGTGATTCCAAGTGCAATCGGCAGGGATCTGAGAACGCACTGTGTAGCCTCTGGCTGTGACCAGTGATAAAACTGGGGAAACCATTAATCTACTTCAGATTCTCACCCGGCAGCCCAGCCAGCCAGAGCGAGAATGCAGGCAGCGACATGGGTAGAAAGGATATCTGTAGTGTTCTTGAGGCCTGAACTTTCATTTGCAGCACTCCCCTTTACCTCATCTTCTATTAACTGCAACAGGAAGCTGATGGTATCCTCTGTAAGAGTCTGTTCAAAGAAGAGGGGAAAATGTATAGCATTTATTGTATGCAATCCACGACTGTTTGTGGGACACTGCAGTACTGTGCACAATTGGTTGCTGCCTTTCGCTCACAAAATATACAGTCAATTCACTTTTATAGTATATTCTGTTAAGCGCTTTGAGACGTCTCAACGACTTGGCACGGACTGGTTACGCCAAGTGGTCCGTTTCCATGCGGTACTTTCTTTGTGAATCTTTGTAAACTCACCATGTCTTTGAGGTCATCGTGCTTCAGAGTTGGTAACTGGAATTCTAGCTGACATAAACCCCTGAACCGCTCTGTCAGACCACTCAAAAGAACTGAAGGTTCTTTAAAAGGCAGAGCCCAGAAACGACCTGCCAGACAAGAATAAAAGAAAGCATCTCCGTGACTGAAATTTGATCTCTGGATTGAGCTGGGTAAGCCGACTTCAGCTGGAACAGCCGAGAGTGAGGCTGAGCCAGGCTGGGATACAATTAGGCCGGGCATCCCTCGCATTGAGAGAGGAAACTCGGTTAGGATTTCTGCTCCCGAGTGCTGGAAAATGCACCCAAGTGGCACTGAAGCGAAGACATGATTTAGCTCAGTTGCGATGGGGATCAAATTTGTAGGATCTATCTCCCAGGAAAATAAAATATTGCAGTGCCTAACTATTACCCGCAGGTGGCGAGATTCACAAAACAAAATTACTGAATGCGATATCCCCCCCTCTCGCCTGAAAACCAAGTACGAAGGCTCCAGTCAATCGCTCAAATCACCAAAGATACTGCGATTGGCTGCCATGTTTTGCCCACAAAATATACAGTTAATTCACTTTACAACATATTCTGTGAAGCGCTTTGAGACGTCTCAATAATGTGGTAAAGCGCTACATCGAATGCAAGGATTATTATTAATGTTGTTGGCACATTCATCGCTGCTTTACGTTAAGAAAACGCCTCCTTATATGCGGAGTAAAAGGATATTCTGCGCATTTCCATCATCTCACCTGGACAGGGACTGTCGGGCCAGTAGCAGAACTTCTCGTGTGCTGTTTTCAAGGCTTTATGCAATTCTGTGACTCTCTCTTTATCTTCCGAAAGAAACATGATTTACAAGTAAATTACATGCATTACATTTGACATGTGGCTAAATTTGAAATGAAAAAAAAAGCTCAATAGCCACAATATAGCCCGTCCTGTCTGACGACAGTCAACATCTTCAAGCCCTCTCATCATATCCCTCAATCATTTCTTTCCAGAAATGTATTTATCCATCTCTTGAACTCATGTATTATTGTCTGTAAGATCCTATTCGATTCCGTATCCCTCCTTTTCAACAGATCGAGGAGCATGTGTACTTGATGTTTCTAATGTTATCTAATGCATAGTGGTCTAATTTTACCAAGCCATAGTGTACAGTGTTGAGATTCGGACCAAATTACTGTATCACCCACATGTCTTGGATTCTTCATTTCCGGGCCCATATCAACGGTCTTCAGTTTATTGGTACCCACTTTCCATTCTTTTGCCCTCTCCCCCAGACACACTTACATTTGGTGGAGTCCTGTGTTGGCTGCAGTGATAAGCAGAGCAATGCTTGGCAGCTGGAACACTTCAGCATATCGCAGTCCACGTTGACCCAGCCATACTTGGCGCAGTATAAAGGTGAGAACTCGAAGGACATGCCAGCCCATTTCAAAGAGTTTCTTGCTAAGGATAAATACTCAATGTCAAAGACAATTAACTACATACCATTTATTTATTAATGAAGGTGAACCCCTTCCCCTGTAAGGCAGATTTTCATATTCCGAGCATCAACCTACTAGTTTCCCCATAAAATATACAGTCAATTCACTTTGCAGTATATTCTGTGAAGCGCTTTGAGAAGTCTCGAAAATGTGTTGAGACGCTATATCAAAATGCAAGGATTATATATTATTATTATTATTACTTGGCCTCCATTTAAAGGGTCCACTTGACCATTGTTATTTCAAAGAAATGTAGTTTTCTCATCTCTGTTAATCTGATTTATATTCCTTTCTGAACGAGATGTAACCCCAAATTCAAATTAATTGGTTACTTATTTTGTTGTTTATTGACATTTTTGATACAGATTAGCTGCCACATTTGCCTCACACGTAATTTCTAACTTTATTTCATAAAGTGCTTTGAGATGTTTATTTTATGTGAGAGGCACTATATAAATGGAAGTTATTATTATTACAAGAAAACAGAAACTTTTCATGAGGCCTTAGGGGCCATGAGATGCTCTTCTGCCGTGAAAGGCGCTATATGAATGTAATTTTTGGTTGTTGTTGAGGGGAATAAATGGCATGTACAAGACCATGATCTATCATTGTATGGGAAATGAGTTACAGTGCTCAATGACTGAAAACAAACACTATGAAACCCCACGCATGCGCACACCGATCTGAATCTGTATTTCAGAATATAAAGGATATTGTGAAAGTTTCAACACGCAAGAAGAAGGCTTCCTTATTGGCTGAATCACAGGGAGGTATTGACTCTTCAAGACTGGCATTGGGAGATTCGGAAATAGAATTTGTCTGATCCCTGGGAAAGAAGAAAAAAAAGACAATAAGATAAATACATATATAAACAAACAAATTTCCCTTCTCTCCCTAAAGCACTGACTTGATATTACTCCCCTGGTGCATTGCACAAGTGTTCATTCTTCACATGCGAGTCAAACAGTGAGCGCAGCTACTAAAATGTGTGTGTGTGGGTTGGTGGGGGGTGTCATGACAGCCAAAAGCTGTTCGAAACCAAATGTTTCCCCAGGTGTTAGCTGACCAAAACAAAATGTCAACAGCACATAATATGTGCTCTGGGTTCAATAATAATAATAATGTGTTCTGGGTTCAATAATAATATAATAATAATATTTGTTCTGGGTTCAATAATAATATAATAATGTGTTGTGGGTTCAACAATAATATAATAATAATATTTGTTCTGGGTTCAATAATAATATAATAATAATGTGTTGCGGGTTCAACAATATAATAATAATGTGTTGTGGGTTCAATAGTAATATAATAATAATGTGTTGTGGGTTCAATAATAATAATCTAATAATAATAATGTGTTGTGGGTTTAATAATAATATAATAATAATGTATTGTGGGTTCAATAATAATAAAATAATGTGTTGTGGGTTCAACAATAATATAATAATGTGTTGTGAGTTCAATAATAATAATATAATAATAATGTGTTGTGGGTTCAATAATAATAATATAATAATAATGTGTTGTGGGTTCAATAATAATAATATAATAATAATGTGTTGTGGGTTCAACAATAATATAATAATGTGTTGTGAGTTCAATAATAATAATATAATAATAATGTGTTGTGGGTTCAATAATAATAATAATAATGTGTTGTGGGTTCAACAGTGATGAGAGCAACGCGATGAAGCCGAGGGTCGGGTGACGGGCAGTGAACTTGGAAGCCGCCGCTGTCACTGAGACTGGAGCGGAGGTTCATTCATTCCCGGGTACCCGGACCCGGCGCGGCCCCGCGGCCGCTCAGCCTCCCGCCCGCAGTGAGCGAGCGAGTGAGTGACGGCGGAGGCCCTCTGTAAATAAACCCGCGCACTGCGGCCACTCACGTTGGCGCGACGCTGTCCGACAGCAGCTCCCGCACTTTCTGCGGCGTCCGAGCCGCATCTTTCCCGCTTTTCGTCTCGGCGTTTTCTTCGCCCCCTTCCGTCGCCATCTTGGTCCCGCACCGATTGCTCTCCCCCCCCCCACTTCCTCCCCCCCCCCCGCTTCCTCCCCCCGCCGCCGCCGGTCCCCCCCACTCCCCCGCTCCGACTGCTCCGCCCGCCCGGAGAAACGTTCCGGATGACAAACTGTCCGAAGTCACCTGCCTCAGCAGAGCTTTTTGATGGAGAAGAATAATAATGATGATGATAATAATAATAATAATAATAATAGTCCTGTGGCTCAGTGGTTAGAGCACTCGCTTTGCAAGCGAGAGACCTGAGTTCAATTCCAGGCAGAGGGCGAAACCTCGGGCAAGTTTCCTTACTCCACACAGAGCCTAATAATAATCCCTCCAAAACAAAAAACAATAATAAATTTGGTCATTTTCAATCCACGACTGTTTGTGGGACATTGTTGTGCGCAATTGGCTGCCGCGTTCGCCCACAAATATACAGTCAATTCACTTTACAGTGTGTTCTGTGAAGCGCTTTGGGAACGTCCTCCCGACGTGAAAAGCGCTATATCAAATGCATTTGAATACAGCGCCTGATCACATCTTCCAGGCGTCTCAAAGCCGATGATTCGGATCTGTCGTTTTAACGGAACGTTGTATTGCACTTTAGAAAATAAAAGCCGTCCTTTTCGCGTGTTTGGAATATTTTGATTTATTCATCTCTAAAGGAATAAATCACTTCGCCAATGAAATATACACAGTCAATTCACTTTACAGTAATAATCTGTGAAGCGCTTTGAGACGTCTCGAAGACGTGATAACGTCCTATATCAAATGCAAGGATTATTATTATTATTATTATTATTATTATATCACCCTGGCTATGTGTGATTCACTTCCAACATCACACATGTTTCAATACCGTATTTGATTCAGATCTGTCATTTTGACGTAACGGCGGATCTGTTGTAATAAAAGTTAACAACCCGAATCCTCGCGTTTGACACAGCGCCTCGTCACGTCTTCGAGACGTCTCGAAGCGCTTCACAGAACACCCTGCAAAGTGAAGCGACCGTGTACTTCGTGGGCAAAAACGCTGGCAGCCAATTGCCCACGGCAGCGTCCCAGCGAACAGTGGCGTGGACTGAAGTGACCGATTTATTTTAATTTCAATAAATAAAGTGAATCGACTGTATATTTTTTTTTGGGGGGGGGTGTGTGGAAGCGAAACACGATGCCATTGTGCACGATGCCATTGTTTCCTTGCGCTTTGTGAAACAAAAGCCATCTTCTTCCAGGCGTGTGAAGCATTCGTTGCAGATTTTGCAGTGAGAGTTACCGTTTTGAGAATGTAAACCTAAAAATAAAAGGGAAAGGAATATAACCACAATCCCTGCATTCGATACAGCGCTTTTCACGTCTTCATGACATCCCAAAAGCGCTTCACGGAACGGACTGTAAAGTGAATTGACTGTGTATTTGCGGGCGGAACGCGGGCGGCGGCCAATCGCGCGCGGCCGCAGCGTCCCCACGTGGATCGAAAATGACCAATTTACTATTGTGTTTTTGGTTTCGGAGGGATTGTCGCTGTTAGGCGCGTGGAGCAAGAACTGAACCCGGGTCGATCGCTTGCAAAGCCAGTGCTCTAACCACTTTGCTGTGGTTCTACACCCCCCCCCAGCCCCCTACACCCCCCCCCCCAGCCCCCTACACCCCCCCCAGCCCCCTACACCCCCACCCCCCTACACCCCCCCCCCCCGCCCCCTACACCCCCCCCCAGCCCCCTACACCCCCACCCCCCCTACACCCCCCCCAGCCCCCTACACCCCCCCCAGCCCCCTACACCCCCACCCCCCTACACCCCCCCCCCAGCCCCCTACACCCCCTACACCCCCCAAGCCCCCTCCAGCCCCCCAGCCCCCTACACCCCAACCCCCTCCACCCCCCAGCCCCTACACCCCCACCCCCCTACACCCCCTACACCCCCCAGCCCCCTACACCCCCACCCCCTACACCCCCACCCCCCTACACCCCCCCAGCCCCCTACACACCCCCCCCAGCCCCCTACACCCCCTTTGACTGCTGGAAGCTGAAACCAGATCGATCGATCGCATCGGTTCTCGACCGAACCCCCTTCTGCTCCTCGGAACGGGACGCGCTCCGCGATCGATTAGCGCGCCGCTGGGGACCCGGCGGTTGGGCCGCCCACCCGCCAGTAAGGCGGCAGGCGATTGGCCGAGGGGGGGGCGGGGGAGGGGAACGGGAGGCGCTGATTGGCGGAGGTCGCGAGCGGGTGGTTGGCGCGCGGGGCCCCGCGGCTGCCGCAGGAGGAGGAGAGGAGGAGGAGAGAGAGAGAGAGAGAAGAAGAAGAAGACGACCGCAGACGGACGGCGGGAAGGAGTCCATTTGCGTTTAAACTCCGGGCTTTTATCTAAACGTCTATACGTCTCCATCTGTGTATTACAAACGGTTGTTTGGTGCTCGTCGCAAGGGAAGGGGAAGAGGAGGAGTGAGGGAGGGAAGAGAAGAGAAGAGAGAGAGTGAGAGAGAGGGAGAGCCGCCATTGTTGTTGTTGTTGTTGCTCATTCGTTGCGGGAGGAGGGGTTGGGGGGGGGGGTGGAGGGGGGGGGGAATGCTGGAGCCGGTGGATCCTCCTCCTCCTCCGAGGTCGACGCCGCCGCCGACGCCGCCGCCATCTCCGCCTCCCCCTCTCCTCAGTCAGTTCGTCAAGTTGACGGGGAGGCCTCCGCCCGGCCCTCCAGGTCAGTACCGCCGCCCGCCCGCCCGCCCGCCCGCGGCTCGGGGTCCCTCCCCCCCCCGTCCGTCCGTCCGTCTCGATGGCCTCCTGTTCCGACTGCCGTGGCTGCCTCTCGGTTGATGCGCGTGACCCGACCGTGAGTGAGTGAGTGAGTGAGTGAGGCCCCCGCCCTCCCTTTCCTTCGTTCAGCCTTGTGCGAGCCCCCACCGCCGACAGTTAGTCACGGTCGGGCAGCCCGCCCTCACAGCCGTGAGATTGTTGCTCTCGCCGTTGGCAAACGCTGCAGCAGTACAACTCTCTCTCTCTCTCTCTCTCTCACTCACACTCTCTCACTCTCTCCATCTCTCACTCACTCACTCTCTCTCACTCACACTCATTCACTCTCTCACTCACTCACACTCTCTCTATCTCTCACTCTCTCTCACTCACACTCCCTCTATCACCCACTCACTCTCTCATTCACTCACTCACACTCTCTATCTCTCACTCACACTCTCTATCTCTCACTCACACACTCTCACTCACTCACACACTCTCACTCACTCGCACTCTCTATCTCTCACTCACACTCTCTATCTCTCACTCACACTCTCTATCTCTCACTCACACACTCTCACTCACTCACACACTCTCACTCACTCGCACACTCTATCTCTCACTCACTCTCTCACTCACTCACTGACTCGCTCGATCTGTATAAATCGTACAAACTGCTACATACAGTCGATTCACTTTACAGTACATTCTGTGAAGGGCTTTGAGAGACGTCTCGAAGACGGCGTGATAAGGCGCTCTCTCAAACGCAAGGGTTGCTCTAACCCCCCCCCCTCTTAAATTTAGACTCTTGCCCAAGTCCCGCTCGAGTGTGACGTAACTCATACTTTGGACAAGTCATACTAAATGTCCCAACTGATATACTTGTGTGAGGTTTACTGTAGTTGTAAAGCGTTGCGTAGTCGCGGTCATATTTTGCATAACAACGGCAAGTATAAATTGCAATTTGTGTGTGTGTATATATAGTGCCTTTCATGTCAGGAATGTAAGAAATAATGTAAGAGTGCTACCAATGCGCATTACCCTGCAATTGTTTACATAATGTGGTTGGTTACAAGTCATCCTTCAGCCCCAGGGGTCTGAGATTGTTGCTTGTTGCTAACACTCCATGTTTGAGATACAAGTATTGTCCAGTAAAACTCACACAAATCTGATTTGTATAAATCCTATAATTACCTAAGTCATACATCTGCCTAAATCCCTTTCAGGTGTTTATATTCTATACAAGTTTGACATAACTCATACTTTGCATAAGGCATATTAAATGTATGGGTACCAACTGATGTGACTTATGCAAGGTTTGGAGTAGTTGTAAAGCTTTGTGTAGCACTGGTTGTTCATGATCGTACTTTGCATAACAACAACAGCGACAACAACAAATTGCATTTATATAGTGCTTTTTGCTTCTAGAATGTAAGAAATATAAGTCTAGAATACTACCAATGTGCATTATCCTGCAATTGTTTACATAATTTGGTTACAATTCCTACTGAAATGATGAACTTAACCATGAAGTCTACACTTGTTTTATAGTGCACTTTTGTATATTATATGGGCAGTATATGAACCTATATAAAATACTATATAAAATTGTAATTGGGTAGAACATGAATAAGCATTTAGTTACAACTTTGTGTTGAAACCTTACTGTTGTTGTCTGATAGGCTTTCTGATGGGCTTTTTTTGTCAAAATTGCTTGAAATTGAAACAAAAATAGCTGTTATTATTTAAGAGTGCTGTTCATTAAATGGGTCACATTTCTATGCCAAAAAGAATCAGTACACTTCCAATGAGTGATTTTGCCAACCTGAGCTAATCTGAACATTTACTTTAAATGCTTTGTTTTGTAGCTGTTGGTTGAATGGTAATCCATAGGTGACCTTTCCATAACAATTAAATTGTACACAAAGAATATCTGTCTGCTTTTCTAAATCAGAAGAAGCTTTAAAATGAATTCATTTCAAAGAGCAGTCAGCATCAAGGGAATGTTAAATCACGTGCCCATTTAGATAGGCCTTTACATAAATACATGTACTGTACTATGTGCTTTTCAAGATAAATTATATCATTTGTTGATGTTATGTTAGTCTATAAAACAGTTGTTCTGTAGTTAGAGCCAGATCTACCTAGACCATCCTATTTACAGTTGTTTTTGTTTGGAGTAAAGTAGAACTTTGTATCACTCATTGCCAAGTATTTTGTGTGTGCGTAACATTTCTCTTGCGTGTAAGATGGATGTTTTGATGCTGTGGACTTACCGCAGCATAAATTTGGGGATATGCTTTAACAAGATTGTGAGAACAGCAGAATCAGCAATATTTGCACATTCATTTAAGTTCCAGGAAAATACCTTTTTTGAGATAACGCTTATATTTTCAGATAATGGTTCGCGGTAATTGGAATGAATTTATAGTGTATGTGTATATTTTCATAAGAGCTTCCTTTGTAAAAGCAACAGTGTATGTTCAGGATTGTAGGGAGAGATCTGTGGAATTTAAAATGAAAAGTCATTCCCAAGTAAGTTATTCAGATGCTGTAGGTGTATGTTGTATAAATTAATAGTAGGTGAAGACTGCATAATATTCAATACATTAACCATAAGAGTTCAATCAATCCTGCAAATCAGTGTTCTAGTTTCTTTTATTTATCAGCTGATCCCTGGTGTCCATTCACAATCATTAGCATGTAGTAACAACACTGCTGGCCAATCTTTCTCTCCATTCCTTTCTGACTTTATCCCCCTCTTTGAGTGTCAAGTGTATCTGTCTGTCTTATAAAAGTAGATATATGACCAATCAGTTACAATGCCTGAACTGGCGTTTACTGCCATTTTTTGGCACTGAAAAAAGCCAGCGCCGGAAAAACGTTGGTACCAGCATTGTATTTACACTTATTCCAACCCACCGGACCAAGTCTTATTTAATCTGCAGTAGATTATCAGGAAGTAATTTATATAACACAACAAAAATGATTTTTCTTCTTTCTTTACTAGGTGTGTTTTATATTTTAAAAGCATACTCCATCCAGTTAATGCAAAACTCAGTAGTCAGCTACTGACAGATCTAATGCAAATTCACAATGTATCACACTGTTGGGATGGAAAGTGGCTGCCATCCGCGTACCTTTTACCTGCTGTTTTGTACCCAAGAGTTCTGACTGTTTCGATTGTTCCAAACATAGGTGTCATGTGAAGAGGGGCTTCTTAATTCTCATTCTCTTGAGTTGTGCAATTGAACTTTGGGGGCAGCGTTGATTCTGGTTGTCAGTGTGAAAGTTTGTAAACAAATGATTATCTTATTATGACATTATTATATAATAATGGGCTTTGGGTCCACAAAACATACAGTCAATTCATTTTACAGTATATTCTGTGAAGCGCTTTGAGACGTCTTGAAGACGTGATAAGGCGCTGTATTAAATGCAAGAATAATTATTTTTATTAGTGGTATCAGTAAAGCTGGCAACAATCGGACGGACATGCTTCTGCTCCTTGTAAAATCTTTTCAAACTACTTGCTGAATTTGGGCTGGATCTCTTGCTGAGTTGGGGCTGATGAAGCCTACAGTGTCTGTGTTGCTCAGTGCATTTTCTCCACGTAGGTAGATGTGATAAGGCGCTATATCAAATGCAAGTATTATTGTTATTAACTGTTGTTTTAAAGTACTACTTCCAGCACCTACAATTGTTTTACAGAATTAAAACTTGAAACTTATTACCCGAGAAATGTAGGTTTATATCAGATCATTTTGCTTTATTGCAAGTTGAGCCGAAAAAGATGATGGGGAGGGAGAACCTCTTGAGTAGAGTTGCTATATAGAACCACATTTTTAAAATATATGATAGGATTCTCCTCATAGCTCAGATGATAAAAGAAAAGCCACTCATTTTGACAACTGTTTATATGAAAACTGAGCTGTACAGGTCCAGATTTGAATGTCAGTCTGTAGTTCAGTTTCCACACTAGAGCATAGGAGCTTCCGTCTGTGTGTTTAAATATATTCTGACACATGGTGACTGCTTAGCAGCAGTTATCTTTTGAAGTTTAATCTGTTAGGCTAGCAGAAAGGAATGGGGAGAGGTTGATTCTCTGAATGATGGTATATTATTATTGGCAGACACGGCGCATCTTATGCACTCGTCTGTAAAGCTGCCAACAATCGGACGGACATGCCTCTCTCCCACTGTCTTTTTTTTGCTTTTTGTGTTTTTAAACCGTTTGTTTTGGCTGCCCGTGTGACTGACTCATTGCTGGTAATTGTGGTGACAGGCTCTAAGAAGAAAGTCAGATGGTTCCTCGTTAGGAGACTCTTCTTCGCCCAGCCTTGTCCCAGTCTCAGGATCCCTTACAGGTTTTTAAACAAAGGTGGGTGGTGCTGCCAGATGCTGCAGATGTTGTAGCTGGTTGAGACAATCGTCTGTCAAACTTTTCTTTTCCCTTACTTTCTCACTCTGCATGATGTGTAGTAATGTTCTCCCCTTCCCCCTTTTTGTCTACATTTTAAACCTACTTGGGTGCTTCAGTTGGTGGCCATGTTCAATATTAGCCATCTTTAGGACCCAGGTAGGAATCTGATCAGAATGGAGGTAAATCCCTCTGGTTCTGAAGCATCTTAATACCGTCCCTCCATCAAGACTCTTATTGGTTTAAAGTTAACATTGAGTGCCGTCAACGAATGGCTTTAACTTACTGTCATCTAAACAAAGGAACTCGATTAATATGCACAATGCCAAAGATTACAAAAAGCGTCGGTGATACCAGTGCTATTTTAATTTAAATATTCTTCCTGAAAAAGGGTCTTGATGGTGACAGTCTCTAAAGTATCGGTGATATTGTTGTCCTTTCCTTTGTGGGGAAAAGTGGATTTGAATCATGGGAATTACATTCTTTCACTATTTAATATTTAATTTTTAATAGTAGTAAGCCTTCCATTTACCACTACTGCTTATTATTATTATGCATGATTAATAATTATTAATTAGAATAAATAATATAAATAATTAATATCATGTTGCTATATATTAATAGTATATCATTATTATATTATTAATTATTATTAATAGTGAATCCAAAACTGGAACATTCAATAGAATGGAACCTTTACGGAAGTTTGACTTTTTATTGTTTTGAACACCTTCAGTTATCCTAACACTATGGGTGAAGTTGTGCTGTTATTGTCTCCCGATGATTTAAAATGGAAGAGAATTCTGCTCTAAATGCAAACTGCCCTCAAATTGAGTGCATACTTCTTGGAACCCATTGAAACAATCTTTTCATCACTTACAAGTTAGTTAATTGAGGATTTTGGTAAAATACTGGCTGCATCCTGCTTATAATAACTGATGCATCTGCTGGGTCCATCACAATGTTCAACTAATAAGTAGGAAAGTTTAAAGATAAACTTGTTCAGTTGGATTTCCCATTTGCTCTAACGACTGATATAGGAGAGAAGAGTGCCCTAGATTGCCATTCCTCTTTTTAAAAAAAAATCTTTAAAAATATGGTACATCCTTCTCTAATATGGTGAACAATTTTGCAAGAAAGTTTAATGAGTTTTCACCAATCTGGTTTTGTAGTGGAGGTGGATCCCCAATGTAGGATGCGATTTAAGAGTATTGGTCCAATAGAGCATGAGCTTTTTGTTATGCTGTATCAGACTTTTCCCTTACCTGACCTTACAAGTGTGCTTCTATTCTGCATGGAATGTGGATGGAAAATGGTGTCATATCCTCCTGAGAATCCACTCTTCTCTGTTGGCACAAAATCGAACGATAGGTAATGAGTATCAGAGTTTTCCCCCCAACCATCTCTACTATTCATGTTGAGCAGATACACTCACGATTTTGTTTCAGGATTTGTGACCCTCTTGAGTTTTCTCCCGTACTCCTGTAATGCTTGCTGCCACAGTTGAGTCGGTTGGAGTTTTGCTTGCAGGCCTGTTTGTGTTGCCACCCAGAGAAATGGGAAAGTTTTAAGTGATGAGATACTGCAGTATGAATTCATTCTCAGCCTTGGGTTTATCTTCATCTTGAATCCGCTGAGCTCTTCTGGTTTGGTTTGGACAGCTAACTAGGCTTGAATTGGAGCCTCCATCTGAGCGGTTAGTGCATATGTTAGAGGAAGAGCTGTATTGTGTGTGCTGTTGACTGCTGTGTTTCTCCCACAAAATATACAGTCAATTCACTTTATAGTATATTCTGTGAAGCACTTTGAGATGTCTTGAAGACGTGATCAGGCGCTATATCAAATGCAAGCATTATTATTGTTGGTGGAACAGTCAGAGCTCATGCTGTGACCATAGTTACCTCTGAGTAAATTATCTTGGAATATTTGAGCCATTATCATGACCAATTTAAGATCGCCATATATTCTTTTGAGGAAATCCTTATTGCAAACAAAGCTGGGAGGAATTAAATCTCGTAGGCCAGAGTCCCATTCTGGAGTGCAATCGGATTCCTGACCAGCTCTTGTGTTTTTGTAGATTAGTTGTCACTAGTTCCACTTTCTGGAATCAGATCAGGGTTATTCTGAGTACACCTATTTTGTATCTACCAGGATCATAAGAGATCCTAGTGTTGGGATTTCTTTGGATCATAATGCTATTGCCAACAAATGGGACTTGTGTCTGAGTGCCAAAGATTCATATCACAAGTGCCAAGACGTTGCAGTCAAGTACTTGCCAAGTCTTCATATTTTACACCACTAATATATGCAGAAACCTCCCTCTGCTCCTTTGTTTCAACTCCTCTGTCTGTCTGAGTCCTGGCTTAAATGTGGCTTAAAGCGACCTCTTTGACTGTGCCTATGGTCACTTCCCCGCTCCCCTGCTTGGCGTCTGGCCCGTCTCTGTAAAGCGCTCAAATATTCTACGTGATGGGCGCTATATAAATGCAAATTGCTCTTATTACTCTTGTTATAGCTTTATGTAATTTTAGATGGATTGGGGAACAGTCAGATAATTGAAATTCTAATCGTGCTTTGTAGCTTTGTTATTGCTCATGTAGATTTGATGATCAATTTAGAACAATTAAATGACTTCCAAGGTCAATTACTTGCTTAATGGGTTGTCACTGCTTATTTCTGCTGACAAATATGAGGTGCTTTATAATCGATTAATTATAAACAGATTATAAACTGCTTGTGTGTTGCTGAGTTGTAAAGAAACCTGTCAGCATTGCATTTTAAAATTAGTGATGAATAAATGATGGGTGTCATTAATTATAATAATCGTTGCATTTGATATAGTGCCTTTCATGTCGGGAGGACATTTCAAAGTGTTTTATAGGATATAGTGTAAAGTGTGGTGACTATATTTTATAAGCAAACACATAGAGTGGTTATGGTGATAACATTATCGATTTTATATGTAGCCCAAACAGTAGTACATTTAATGTAAATTAAAATCATTAGTAGTAGTAATAATAATAATCCTTGCATTTAATATAGCGCCTTATCAAGTCTTTGAGACGTCTCAAAACGCTTCACAGAATATACTGTAAAGTGAATTGATTGTATCTTTGTTGGGAGAAACAGTACAGGTAGAGTTGTATTATTTATATTAAATTGCTCGGTTTTACATGAAGAATGGAGACAAGACCATAGCAGATTCTTGCAGCGTTTAGTGGAGGCTAAGGCACAATTTCCAGAGATATGCAGAGAACACATCACATTAATTCATTAGGAAATTACCACAAACTGTAAGATTGCACAACATTGATGGATACTAATTATGCAATTAGCTGTATGTGTAGGTGGGAAGTGGGGAGAGGATTATGACATTTTTCTAGATGCTGCCTCTCAATGCTTGAAATAACATTTTAAAAGGAAGTATTGGATTCAAATTGTGTGCATGTGTTGCAAGTCATGTAGGTAGGTTATTACTATTTTTAACTGTAGTTTAGTGGTTAGAGCACTTGTCTTGCAAGTGAGAGGACGCAGGTTCGATTCCCGGGCAGAGCGAAACACTGGGCAAGTTTCCTTACTCCACACGCCTCTGTTTATCTAGCAGTAAGTAGGAACCTGGTTGTTAGTTAATTGGCAGATCAATTTTCTGGTGGCAGTAATCCCTTCAGAATTTGTTTTAAAAATGATAATAATTTGGTCACTCCATCCACGAGCAATTGGCTGCTGTGTTTCGCCCACAAAATGTAGTCCGTTCACTTTACAGTATATTCTGTGAAGCACTTTGAGATGTCTCGAAGTGTGATAAGGTGCTATATGAAATGCAAAGATTATTATTGATAAAAAAAATTGTTATACACTCTTTGTTTTTCTCTACATCTGTCCTAGAGAGTAATTTTAGCATTTTAAATTTAGCATAGAGCGCATTGTAAGTATAGTTTCACAAATCTTAAAGTGGGCTTATCTGTCACCACAGGTGACGTGAACAAAAAAAATTTTTTTTAAATTCAGCTTCTTTGCCTGTAATGCTGTGTCCACGGTACATTAAACAATGCTGGTGTTCAATGATTTGTGAGAAGCTGCCAAATTTAAATTTAATCAGTGGGTTTCTTAAGTGTCGTCACAGGCGACTGAGGCTAATGGACTTGGTACGTGTTTGTGGTTTTATGGACTACAAGTGGTGGCTTTATCAGAATCTGACCATCGCAAATGTATGCTTTGAGCAGTCCGAAGGTACATAATAATGAAATGCAGCTTAGCATTCCTTCTGTTACTCCATTAAGCAATTTTGAAGAAAAAGGTTTAATATTGATCAGTTAGCCTTAAGGCTAATTTCTAAGGTCTCATTTTCTATCCTAACGGCGCATACGTCCTTGCTATCTTTCCTAAATAGGCTGGTTTGTTTTCAGTAGGTACATTTCCTTTGTACCCTCCATTTTCTGAAGAATTATGATGTTTTTGTCTGTTGTGGCAGTAGATTTTTCTTTGAATTGCAGTGCATTAAGAGTAGCTTGCTGCAGCATTTATACAGCTCAAAATAGGTAACTATGAGGCCTGAGGGGGATGCAAGATTCATTTTGTCTACATTTTTGACCTTGCCTGTCTTTGGGGATACAATTCGCACTTTAGACAAAGATAGAAAGTGTGACCGCTGCAGTGCAAAACATCTGTTTCTAGTGAAGTGGAGCCATGGAAGAAGAAAAAAAAAACGATTTAGGATAATAACAAAACATTTGAAATCAAGCGTATTGCAGTTGATGGTTGGCAATAGGATTGTAGGGTCGTGTGCAAAATGTATTCCCAATTTTCCCGTATGATTTGGTCTGCACTGTTAAAATCCACAGGTCTATCGATAGGTGAAGGGTGATGCAAGGCATGTATTCCGTGAACTTTATCGGCTGTTAAATCTGAACGTTTTCTCCTGTATCCTTCCAGCTTTTGCTCTTTTGAATTCCCTGTGCTCTTCACCTAAGAAGAGTAGAAGTTGAAATGTCTGCAAGTTTATTGTTGGTTGGATTGGGGTAACAGAACGGGTTTACTTTATCCAGACTGCTTATAAGGTTTTGTGTGTTTTTTAAAAAAAATAATGTGGCAGCTTAGAATTCCTGTTACCATTTCTGCAAATTAAAATGTGCGCAGTGTTTGCTCACCAAAGTACATTGTGTTTTTCTCACTACAACCAACACTGGTTGGCACTGTAGCCTTAGTCTTAAAACACATCTTATGATTTAAAAATGCACTAAGCTGCTAAATTAAGATGACTTTCTATTGATTTAAGAGATTTTACTGAACGCTTAATTGTGGTCGCTGATTTAAGGAGCTATCTGCCCCTGCCTACTTCAAATCATAACTATGATATTTTGTGGAGTCCTGTTGCGTTTTGGTTAGAGCAGTCGCCTCGCAAGCGAGAGGACCCGGGTTCGATTCCCGGACAGGGCGAAATCTTCCACACGTTTCCTTACTCCACACACCTCTCCACGCTCATCTCCAAACGCACGTTTCTTTACTCCACATGTCTAGCAGTAAGTAGGAGCCAGGTTGTTAGTCGATTGGCAGATTGCTTTCTGGGGATAATAATCCCTTCAAAAATATAATAAATAATAATTTGTTCACTCAATCCACTGTTTGTGGGACACTGCATTGTGTAATTGGCTGCTGCTTTTTACCCACAAAATATACAGTCAATTCACTTTACAATATATTCTGTGAAGCTCTGAGACGTCTCACCAATGTGATAAGGCCCTTTATCAGATGCAAGGTTTATTATTATTATGACTATTATTAGAAGATGGCTAGTATAGATTACATTTTTCTTTCCTTTCCTCTTCAAGGTCACATAGTTCCACCTGCACGAAGTGGTCATCGGTGCGTTGCAGATAATGCGAATCTCTATGTATTTGGAGGCTATAATCCTGACTATGAGGAGTCAGGAGGACCCGAGAATGAAGATTACCCACTTTTCCGTGAGCTCTGGCAGTATCATTTTGCCTCTGGTACATGGCAACAGATGGGGACAGAAGGCTTCATGCCCAGGGAGCTAGCATCCATGTCAGGTAACATTTGACTATAATCCTTGAAGGGTTTTGTTGTTGATAAAAAAAATTTAGAGCAATATTTAATTTAGTGGCAATAGCTGGTTAGACTCCAATGCATACTCCGGGATCCCCCAAGCCTTGGCTCTTGCCAACCTGCGCTTTCTGGAATTTGGTCAGCAGGATGCATCCCTCCAGGGAGAGAGCGCACATTCCGTTCCAGCAATCTATCTCTGGGATTTCCACGTGTAGGTGGGATGCATGGAATTCTCAGTTTGGTTTGGAGACTCTTAAGCACGGTGATGGGTTTCTGCTGTGTGTCAAGACACCCAGCTGACCCTCCAAAAAGCGCAGTACTGAGTGAATAATCCTTTGTTGGGTGCGAGACCTTGAACTGAGATCCTGGATAATTTGTTGTTTCAGGTGAGTATTTGTTACCATGGCACACTTTTGAAGGGCAGAGAACTCTCCCTTATCTAAATTCAGCAAGAAAAACATTCAATAGATTAACGGTTCATTTGTTTTCTTGCTATTTATAGAAGTTTGCTGGTGTAGATTAGCTGTCGCATTTGTCTATATATCCACTTCATGGTAGAATTACCCATTGTGTGAAGTGCTTAGAGGTGTTTCCACACAAGATGTCAAATACAATTTTTTTTATAAAGAACATCAAATTGTGACTAATGTTGTTAGTGAAGTATTAACTACTGGAGCGATATTCGGAGTCGAGCAATAGGTTACCGCACGAACATTTTTCATCTAGGTAATTATCTAACCCAGACAGATATATGTATTATATATACTGGAGCAGGCTATTCAGCTGCTTGAGCTTGTGCCACCATTCTGTAAGATCAAAACTGACCTGTACCTCAACTCCAATTACCCACCTTGCCCCACACTTCTTGATTCCTTTACCTAACAGAAAACGTTACCCTCACCTCTGTCATTCGGAGCTTGCCTGAATTTTATTTAGATTGCTACAACAATTGAACGTTAAGAATTAAGACAATTCCCTTGTCTTACAGTTGTTTTGCATGGTAATAACTTGCTGGTGTTTGGTGGAACCGGAGTTCCCTTTGGTGAGAGCAGTGGGAACGATGTCCATGTGTGCAATGTTAAATACAAGCGATGGGCTCTGCTCAACTGTCGAGGGAAGAAACCAAACCGCATATATGGACAGGTCAGTCATGCTCAATGCCCAGTGGATGAATTCTTATCAACGAAAGCTGAATGGATTTTTTTTTTTGGATGGGTTTTCCGATGTACAGCAACGATTTGCATTTATAGGGTACGCAGGGTAACGTTTCAGAGCGCTTCACAGTGGCGGAGTCTGACAACGAGCCAAGGGGAAGAGGGAGGGGGGGCAGGTGACTGTAAGCAGTCAACAAGAAAGGTCTTTAAGCGGGGTTTGAAAGTGGGGAGGGAGCGGATAAGGCGGAGGGATTGAGGAAGAGTGTTTCAAATGTATTGCTCATTTTGACTGTAGGCACTTGCCACAGTTACATTTGGTTATAGTTTTTTTTAGTGGTTCTTCTTAGTAGAGAGTGATATAGAGGCAGATTGAACAATATCCAGTAATTTGCTTACCTGCATGTGTGGATATCTGGTTAGGCAGGACACGGCTTGTTTATAATGTCCCTTCTCCTCCTCTCCTGCAATTGAATAATCTACCTGCATTTGCTGTCAAGAAGAATGGCCATTAACCATGGTCCAGTAGGGCATTCTGTTTACATGGAGCCTTGCACTTAGTTGAAGGAAAGAGTTGAGCTTTGCCTTCAGGTGAGGAGGGAAGAAAATCGGCAATGTTACAATCCTTCATCTGTGAAAATGTTTATTTTAATTGATGCAGGCTATGGTGATTATAAACGGCTACCTGTACATATTTGGCGGGACGACTGGTTATGTTTACAACACCGACTTGCACCGATTAGACCTTACGGCGCGTGAATGGATACAACTCAAACCAAATAATCCTCCTAACGATTTGCCAGAAGAAAGGTGAGCGATAATCGATACAAGCTTAGCTTTTGATCCATTAGCTTTGGACATGTTTGCCTTGTCTTTACCTGTACTTAAAGTCAAATGAATTTTAATGTTGATTATTTTTGGAGCAGAAAATCATCTCTACACTAGTGTCCACATTATCTCTTTTGGCCCGAGGTGAGTTGTTGGAGTTGTTGCCCATTGTTCAGTAGTCTACTGGAAGTCACTAGGTTTGTGAATATGAATGGTTACTTGAGAGAGGTGGTAGGATTCTGTAGAATCGTATCCCAGCATGAGTTTACAGCTTTATGAGACAGATTTAAAATAAAAACCACTCGCAACCTCAATTCAGTAGGATTTATGTAAACAATTTTATCAGTTGTGTGGAGGTAGGACAAGGGCAATTTATCTCATTCTTCTGATAGACTCTGAACCATGCGTTACACCAGGTGAAAGTCCACGCCGATTCAGCCTGTGGCTTGTTTTGTCTGTTGCTTTTGTAGTTTTCATAAATAATTACTTGGCCTTCGAATATGAGTAGATAATTTCAATTGCTTATGCTGGATTTGGAAGGAAGAAGAGAGTAGTCACATTCTATCTGCTGTTACATTCTGTTTGGAGAATCCTTAAATGGATCCTGGAATGTACTGTACTGCAGATATGTAACGTCAATGAAGTGCAGGCCAAAAGGATAATTTCCAATGGGGTTTTCTTGTGCTTTCAGGTATCGACATGAAATAGCTCACGATGGACAGAGGATATACATATTAGGAGGTGGAACGTCCTGGAGAGCTTATCCATTAGATAAGGTGGGGACCACCTATAAATGTATTAAATAATTATACAGTTAGCTTGTAAACATAAGCTAGTGGAATGACTTCCATGTGGATCCCAAGTAAAAAGTCGCAGCATTACATGGAGCGTTCCTTTGAAGACCTGCTTAAGAATGTGACTGGAATTCTTCAGGTTGTAGTGCGCTATAATGTTGTGCAGGTGGGGAGAGGAATTAGAGTGTAAAGTTAACATTCTTTTTAAAGATTCAAAACCCAAGCTTGTTGTTTGTTTTTCCAGATACATGTATTACTTAGAGACAAATACATGGGAGGAAATACAAACCAAACCACATGAGAGAAAAGGTAAGGCTGGGGCTCAGAACTTTCAGCTTCAGCTCAAAATCTAAGAGGAAGAGAAACGATGCTATTCTGCCTTCAACATGTAATCAAGGTTTTGTTTGTTAAAAGTAATAATGGCTACAAACGCAGGAGGGTGAGGAACCACCTGCAGAGTAATTTAAGCACACTGGCTACGGGGGAAATCTGTTATTCAATGCAGATGTTTATTATGTATGATCTGTAATCTTTCATGTGTTAATTACATAGTTTTCTAAAAAAAATTTTACACATGGTATTTACACAACTCTTATAATAGTCCCATTTACGCCCACAAATATACAGTCAATTCAATTGACAATACATTCTGTGAAGCACTTTGAGATGTATCAATGGGTTGATAAGGCGTTGTATTAAATGAAATAATTATTATTATTATTTTGTGTATTTGTGCATACAATGGGTTTACTGCACTTTCAATGCTGGACAGAGAGTCACTGTGCTAAACGTACCACTACACAACCGTGTTTGTTTCTAAAGGCTATCCAAATATATACACAAAACAATACAATCTACCTTACATAGCGCCTTACACATCCAGAGGATGTTGCAAAGTGCTTAAAAATATAGCATTCTCAATGCTTTGAGATTAAAAGCTAGATGTTAACTAAATCAAGTTTGGTTTCCCCCGCAAAAAAAATTCATTTTCCTCACAAGTTATGTAATCACCCCCCCCCCCCCAATATCCTTACATCTTTCACAGTTAAAGGAATCTAATTGCTCTTGTTATAATAATAATCCTCGCATTTGACATAGCGCTTTTCACGTCGGGAGGACGTCCCAAAGCGCTTCACAGAACACACTGTAAAGTGAATTGACTGTATATTTGTGGGCGAACACGACAGCCAATTGCGCGCAGCAGTGTCCCACAAACAGTCGTAGATTGAAAATGACCAATTTATTATTGTTTTGGTTTTGGAGGGATTATTTTTAGGCTCTGTGTGGAGTAAGGAAACTTGCCCGAGGTTTCGCCCTCTGCCTGGAATTGAACTCAGGTCTCTCACTTGCAAAGCGAGTGCTCTAACCGCTGAGCTACAGGACTCCACAAATTTGGGGATTGTTATTTGGGGATCTTTTGTAAAGAAGCAGGAGAAGAAAACGTATTGCACCTTACAACATAACGTGAGAGAATTTCTTTTTTCTCTCCTTAACTTTAAACCCATTTGATTTTTTAGCACACTTAATGTTGTACGTACAAGGACATTCTGAATGAAAATCATTTTGTTTTAATTGTGAACCTGGGTGAATATTAATGCCCATAGTGGTATTCTTTAAGAAGAGAAACTCGGATTAATTATTAGTTTGCCAGTTAGCAATTTTATTTTTCCAAGATATGTTTCCCTTTTTTTTTAACTGTTTAAATGTTGGGTGCTATTTATTGCATTGAGTGTGTTCAATATATTGTATTCAACAGCATTGTGAATTTCAATACAGATTATTTCTTGATTCTTTAAAATGAGTGTAGAAGTAGCAAGCATGTGTGATTAATCCATGACTGTTTGTGGGACACTGCTGTGCGCAATTGGCTACCGCGTTTTGTTCATAAAATATAGTCAATCCACTTTACAATATGTTCTATGAAGCGCTTTGAGATGTCTCAATGACGTGATTAGGTGCTATATCAAATATAAGTGTTATTGTTATTATTCTATTCTCGCTTGCCAAAAATACCAGTTGAGAATCTAATCTAATGTTTCTCTATATTCACTTGTTGTGGTCTGTTTTGTTTTACTATAGGCTTTCCAGCAGCCAGGAGATGCCATAGCTGTGTACAAATAGGACATGGTATGTACAAGTTATTGGCAAGATTGTTTAGCTGGCAATTGTAAATGAGGTGTCCATGTATACATGTTCATGTTGCTGATTTAGGCATAACTTTTGTTACAAATGGAATGTGCCTCCGTGTCCACGCTATCTGTTGATTCCACATTGGGACCTTGGCAAAGCTCTAGCATAGGCTGACAGTTGCAATTGGTAAGATTTTATATTGTTTATTTCTACAGCACAGAACTCTGTGATCACAGAAAGGCCAGTATGAGAAATAGAAATGTACTGTTGTTACCATCTGAAGTGAGGATTGATCATGGTACATTGTTGGGATGGAGGAGGGTGGCTTTATTCAGCTTTGGTTTCTGTATGTATTGTTGAAGACTTCATTTTCGTCCAACGAAAATCAATTCACATTACAGTGTATTCTGTGAAGCACTTTAAACGTCTCGAAGACGTGATAAGGTGCTATATCAAATGCAAGGATTATTGTTTGTAATATTTCCACTTTTCACCATTCTCATTTTATATTTTACCTTTGAGCACAGAAATTGAAAAACATTTCCCCTCCAAACAATCAATGAATTTGTCTAACAGGAGTCACATTTACAAATTCTATGTCTGGTTGTTAAGAGTTTAATAGTTCCTAATAAACATCTAAGGTTCTCCTGTAAATTATTATTTTTGCAGATGTATATATATGCGGTGGGTACAATGGTGAACTAATACTTGGAGACCTCTGGAAGCTCAGTTTACAGACTTTCCAATGGACGAAACTCCCTGCAGAAATGCCAGAACCAGCCTACTTCCACTGTGCAGCAGTCACCCCGGTAAAGTTTCCTGTGCAATGCTTATTCACTTCCTTCCTTTCCATTTTCTCAGTCACTACACTTTACAGTATATCCGGTGAAGCGATTTGAGACGATGTGATAAGTCGCTATATCAAATTCAAGGACTATTATATTTTGAAAAGTCAAATTTTCCATTGTGATATTAAAGCTGCCAGTAGTATAAAGTGTTTAATGTAGTGGTTAGCCGTTCGCATTGTAAACAAGAGGACCCGAGTTTGATTCCTGGGCGGGGTGGGTGAGGGGAACGTCAGGCACGTTTCCTTACTCCACATCCTCTGTTTACCTAACAGTAAGTAGGAACCCAGCTGTTCGTCAATTGGCAGATTCCTTTCAGGGAGTAATCCCTCTCCCCCCCCCCCCCAAAACTTTTGATCACTCAATTCACGATTGTTTGTGGAACGCTACTGTTCGCAATTGGCTGCTGCGTTTCACCCACAAAATACACAGTCAATCCACTTTACAATATATTCTGTGAAGCGCTTTTGAGATGTCTCAACAACGTAATATCAGCTTTAATCAAATGCAAGGTTTATTATATTTACTTAAAAATAGTATAAAATTTAAAAATAGATGGAGATTCAACAGCTGAAAGTGAAAGATTGGTTACAGTTTCCCACGTGACCTTTCATCAGATTTCCAATGTTTTTCCTTGGGAAGTAACCGTGTCCCATAACATTTTGTTAGCAAATTATTCACTCTTAATTTCACGTGGGCGCTATATCACATGCAAGTATTATTTTTATATAGACTAAGCGACTGTGTTTCTTCTCTGCAGGCTGGCTGTATGTACGTGCATGGTGGGGTAGTAAATATCCATGAGAACAAACGGACTGATTCACTCTATAAAATCTGGCTTGTGGTACCCAGCTTGTTTGAACTCTGCTGGGAGAAACTACTAAAGAGCTTCCCTCAACTAACACAATTCTCCACAATCCAGTTGCTAAATCTCGGACTTACACAAGGACTTATCGAGAGGTTGAAGTGACGAGCGCTACGCGGTTTCAGATAGAAGTATGGAGAGGGCACCGCTCTGCAATATGGTGATGGGGCAGTGTTGGAGGAAGCTGCTGGGAAGAATTCTCCTGATCAAGGCCTTATCTGCCATAAGTGTTGGATCCCTCAATTATTTTTAAACGCTCTTTATTTTTGAAAAACGTCTAGTTACTTTGTCGTATGACATGAAGCAGACTGACCCTCCTCCCTGTCTTCCCTTTCCACTGCCCCCCCCCCCCCCCCCCAACAATATGCCAAGTGTGGCGTTTGAATTTCATTCGTGTACATGCCCCCACTTTGCAATTCAGAATTATTTTCTAAATTCTTCAATTAAAAACAATGGAGTACTCTAAACGTGTGCCTCTGTGGGATAGGTTCAATTTTGAAATGTCAAATTGCTGTCTCTTTGGTCAATGCTGTTTTTCTTTTTTGTTTTAAAAAGTCCAAAAACACAGCAAGTGTTTGCCTTAAACGCAGTCTGTTTCAAATCACAGTATGTTTTATGAATCCAAGAAAAGCCCAATTCTATCCTCTATCGTGTACCGTTCAGTGAAATTTACTTTTCATTTTTAAAAAAATTCAGTGTCACAAAGCGTGTAAAGAATATTCAGAGATTTTAATCTTACTGCCTTAGATTGCATTCCCACTCTGTCAAGTTCTACCTGCTGCATTACAAGCAAATTTTATGTTAATGGGCAAAAGCTGCTGGGATTTTGCCAGCTTGAACCCAAGTCCTGAGTGAGAGTAGAACCGTAAATACCTTTCACTATTCATTGCAACTCTGATGATTATGGAGGCAAGTGATTTAAATGAAATCTGGACAAAGGTAAGCTCCAGTTATCTATAATTTATCCATTTGTCCACTGTGATCATTTATTTTTTAAAAATGTGCTTGTTTGCCAATTCCTGTTCTTAGAAACAGGGAACAGAAAGAGAGAGAGGAATCAATTTCTATAGCAACATTGCTTTATTATTTTGATCTAAAAATGTACACAAGTTTTTTTCATACAGCTTCAGATATTGATTTTTCTTTCTCCTCAGCCTTTTTTCTTCTCCACCCGACACTCAGACACCACCATTTTATCTTTACAGTGCAGTGTTATCTTCTTTACCAAATTGTTTGGGGTGTTTGTGTCACTTGGATTTGTAGAAGAACTATGTTAATGAACACTAATTGTAGCAATAATCTGGAGATTTATTTGCAATAATGCTGGTATCTGTTTGCACAGCATCCACTGAGCCTTGCTTATTTCAGTGCATTTGTGTTGGGAGGGTGTTATCACCAAGTCAAGAATGTACTGTTTTGTATTGACTAGTCTTTTTGTGGGATACAGTGCTCTGTTTAGCTCTGTCTGTTGCTTCCTCTTCTGTGATTCCGATTTGGAAATTCCTAAATTGCCTTTTTTGTTCTTTTTGAAACATTTCTGCAAGTGCTCTTTATTCTTGAATTGAAACCATTTCCTGATTTTCATCCTGATCAATAGTAAGCTATTATGTTCACCCACCATTTGTCTTTGAAGTCTAAAGTCGTACTTTCTCTCCCACTTTGCTGTAACAATACTATGGTGGTTGGTGTGCTACGTAAAGCCTGAACGCTTTTTCCTAAGCATCCACTAAATGAAGCACACCAACTGAGAACTGTGTCAGAGGGATTGGCTCAGACATATTTGATGTAGGAAGTGTTTTGTAATGGAATGTGGGCAATGTTCACATCTAAAGAAGCTGTCTGTATGCATGTGGCCTTTCTAAGTTGTGCGCGTGTATTAGAGTTGGAATGTAACCAGTTACACATCACATCTTTTCTTCCCTCCCTTTCCCACCCCCACCCACCACCGGGAAGTTATTTTACTTGCTTCAGGGTCTTATTTCTCTATTCTGTGCAAAGTAAACACTTGAGAGCTTCCTTGAAACTTGACACACCATATAGGAATGAACTTCTTGCAATTTGAAAGGAGACAGCAGTCTTTGGGAGCAGCAGAAGATCTACACTGCACCTGCTTCTAGTATTTCCAATGGAATAGTTGTTGGGTCTTCTAGTTGAATTGGCTCTGGATTTTATGTAATTTTCAGGAAATTGCTCATTTAATGATAATCACTGGTGACTTGTAAGTACTGTACTCAGAAGGATTAGGAATCTATTTAATTGAAGACATTAACCATGAACAGGTGCATGTTGATCAGTGCCTAAGACTCTGCAAAGAGATGTATGCTTTAGGCCTGAGATCTCCTGTCCCTTTGTGATATATTTTCAAACACATGCTCCTGTTGTGAAACCATCATTGATCACGGATTATTGACTGACTTGTCAGAATTTCAGTGATGACTATTGAAGTGTTTTGGCATTCAGCAACAGTGTGTATGAGGGATAATAGCTTTGTATTAATAGGATTCTTGTTCTGGATAAAAATATCAGTGACTTAACTCCAATCAATCCATTCCTCTTGATGAACCTCCATTGAAGTAATTGATGACAATAGCTAAATTGTGTGCACCGATATTAATGCATGCCACTTAAATGAACCTTTCTAAAAAATCAGATTATTATTTTCTTTTGTAAAATCTAGATTTTATTTTAAATTGGCTTTTTTTGTAATAATAAAAGCATGAATTTGTTGAATTCCTTGCTGTGTATTCTTCCAATAATGTCCTTGGGTATAATGGTGGTCACTGACTGTCTGTCAGCTACGCTCCTGAAGCATTTTCAAAGTTTTATATCCTGGAAATGTAACCATTAATCAGCAAATGTGTTTTTTTTTCCCCTTTCGCTCTTTCAAAATGTTCCAGTTTAGTCTTGCAGTTTCCTGCTCAATGGTAGCACTCCCACC